TGTGTGTGCTTACCAAGTCCAGACACTGTTTATCTGCAGGACTGTTGCGACGGTAACGGTCCAGAACATCCGTCCTCCTCTTTAGCAACAACCAGCGAGGAGACTCTGGGATCGAACTGGAACAGGAAAAGGGAGCCGTTAACAATCCTCAAAGGCCAAAGCAGACAGACGGGCAGACAGACAGACGGGTGCTCCTACAGGTAGAGCGGCAGACAGACGAGCTGAGGCACGGCCATCGACAGGTGCAGCCGTCTCCAGGTGGGGCTGAGCCAGGCCAGCGGAGCTCCGCCCATCGTCCCCAGGCTGAAGCAGAACGTCAAGAAGGCCGACGCCCAGAGCCGAGCGGCCGGACGCGTCCACTCCACGGCTGTGGATAAAACAAACGCCCAAATTATACCCGGCTCACTTTGGGGAACCAGCTGGAATAAATCGTATTGTTTACGGTGTGTCGCTCAAGTTCTGGTTCTCTCCGACCAATCAGATCGGGAATTTATTTAACTTCCCTTTTTTAGTACCGGCTCAGATCACCGGGAACCTCAACCTACGTGGTACCATAAAAAATAACCAGGTACTATGAAATATATACTAGGAACCAAGTAGACCTATGAAGACCTCTATTGACCACAGTCCTGCTCCCCAGAGGAGGAACCCTATAGATGTTTAGTTGTGGTATAGGGGCTCTGAAATATAGACTGTCTATAAGAAGTGGACGTAGTCGTCGTGACGTCCCTCGTTGGTTTGTGGACTGCTTTTGAAGCCTGAAGTTCGGCGATTTGGCCGTCGCCATCTTGTCATTTTTGCAACCAGTGAACAGGAAGTGACCATATTTGGACTGAGGAGGAGTGACGTAGAGACGCCGTATACGTCTCTGGTGTCGACCTGTCAATCACCGTGTAGCCCCGCCCTAAAGCATCCCCTGCTTTATGGTCTGTGTGACTCTAAATGGACCATAATGTACTAAATGAACATCATGCTGTGTTGAAGAAGACTTGAAACTAGAGATTGAGACCATAAACTCATGTTTACAATGTTTACTGAGGTAATAAATCAAGAGAGAAGTAGAGTCATTTTCTCATAGACTTCTATACAACCAGAGGAGTCGCCCCCTGGTGGTCACTAGAGAGAATGCAGCTTTAACACATGAAGCTCTGACTTCACTTAAAGAACCGGAGGTTCCCACTTGGTCTGGAATCATCAGGATGATGGTTTTAATGAACCTGCTGCCCCCCTTTCAGTCTCAACCAGATGTCAGAGGTCAAGAAGCTGCTGGAAACTGTCTTTCCTCATTGGCACTCGGTCTTTATCCGGGACACGTGTTCTTCATCGCCCTCGTGTCCCGCTGTGGTTCAATAAAACTCACCGGACGCCCAGTGAACCACGACCCAGTGAGGCCAGTTTGGTAACAACGATACAGGAGCAAGAGGAGGAGGAGGAGGTGGTAGTTACCCAGACTGAAGGAGCAGATGTTGATGCAGCAGCAGCAAACGCCAGTCACGCAGCGAACAGCGAGGTAGAGGAAGGGCTGAGGAAGGACGGCGGGCACGAGCCCACAAACGGCGTGCACGTATACGGACACCAGCAGCACCGTGCGCTTCCCGTACCTGCAGAATACAGCGGCGTATAGAAGCTCGTTAGAGGCGGCGAAAAAAAAGCTGCAGATGAATTTGAATGTGTTTGTTTGTGTCATACCGGTCGGATAAGGCTCCTCCCACCAGCGATCCCAGCAGCAGACCGACCATGTAGAGAGTCTGACTGTACACCAACCAGTCCGTCCACTCACACACTGACTGACACACACACACACACACACACCGAAACAATGTGTCCAAGTACACAATTAGGTTGCATCTAATCGTTTGACACATTAACCGGACCTTTGCGAATCTCAACCACATCTCGTTCACTTATCACTTATTTGATTTGTATTTTCTATTTTTAAATGAGGTCTTCTACTATTGCACTGTGAGCCGAGCCAAATGTCTTGTGTAACGTATTTGGCAATAAACACGACTCCTTCAACAGCAGACGGAAACATTAACAGCCTCGTGTTGCACATTAACGTGCACGTTAATCTGTGCAGTTATTTGTTGTGTAACCTTGTTTTTGACACGCAGACATCATTGTTTTAAAAAGCATCTTGCAAATACACAAAGCTCAACTACATGTTTAAAGTGTATGAATATTAGATAGAAGTTCTAATATTACAGGAATATCGAGGAAAAACGTGAACATCACTCACGTCTCGGTTCCCGCTCTCCGAGACCTCGCCGGGCCGTGATTGGTTGGCCCCGGCGTTCGGCGGCGCCGACGACGTTCCGGCGTCGTCTTCCGTGCCGTTGCCGGGGCCACAAGATGCCCCGACGACGGCGGACGCGAAAACGTCGAGAAAGAAGAGGAAAGAGCTGAAGAAGAAGACGAAGGAGAGGCGCCAGTACATGGACAGCTGCAGCGGAGACATGGCCTCCTTCAAGTCCAGAACAAGTCTAGAACAAGTCCAGAACAAGTCTAAAACAAGTCTAGAACAAGTCCAGAACAAGTCTAAAACAAGTCTAGAACAAGTCTAGA